CGGAACCCAGCATGATGGCACTGGGTATGGAATCCCCTGCTCTGTTTGGCCAGGTTGGGTCAGCCTGCCCGGCTGTGTCTCTTCCTGGCTTCTGGTGAAAATTAACCCTGTCCTGGCTGAACCCAGGACAATACCAGATGCCTTGGGTTGCATCCAGGGCTTCTGTAGAAAGCCATGAGCACAGAGAAAAGAAATTATTTCCGAGGTGTTTCTTAGCTGATTGCAATACTGCTTCCATACTCAAACTGATGTTCCTTGTACCCCTGGTGTAGGTAGCAGAGGGTGACTTAATGGATGCTAAAACTCAATTTGCTCATTTCCATTTGGCTTGTAGAATGACCTACCTTGCATTGAGCACTCTATGGTGTTTCAGCAAAACGTGCTTGGGTGTACAAGTCTGGGCTTTCATTAAGATGCTGCTGAGCTAGTACTGGGTTTTGTGGTTTCTGCTTTAAAGCAAGCTCTCATTTCTTTAACTTAGATTAATTTACTTAAAAATGTTTGTGAAAGAAATATTTTTTTCTTGATCTTTTTCAGATTATCAGAGACTGATGACTGTGGCAGAGACCATCACAGCACTAATGTTTCCATTTCAGTGGCAGCATGTGTATGTTCCTATCCTTCCAGCATCCCTCCTTCATTTTCTAGATGCTCCTGTCCCTTACCTCATGGGCTTGCACTCTAATGGGCTGGATGACCGGTCTAAACTGGAACTTCCTCAGGAGGTGAGAGGAGCTCATCCTGATTGATTAAATATTGTATGTGACTATGAGGAAAGTGAGGAATGAGCCAAAACACTAGTGCTAACTGTAACAGCCGTTGTGGAGTTCTTGCTGGCTCTAGTTTGGGATAGCTATTACTTTATTTTTTGGAGATGCTGGAGAGAATCTGGTAAAATAGATGAATAAACCCCTGTTTTGGAAATTGTATGCTCTTATAAAATTAAACTAACTTTACAGGTATTGATGCAGTAGAGTTACAAAAAAAACATTTTTGTGCTGCAAAACTTAGCAAAAAAGTGCAGTGTGATTTCACCAACTGTGGCCAGAAGGCCATAGAACTCCTTCTATATGGTGCCAAGTGAGCAAAGCTTGATTGGCGTCAGTGCTGTGCTTGGGCCAATTCCTGGCTCTGCGGGATTAGGCTGGGTTTCCCCTCACTGCATTTCTCAGTTAGGGTTGGCTTACATAGACCCAGCCTCTCAAGTGTCTGCACCAAAACTATTTCAGATTTTTCTTCTGGAATGCACAGTTCACTCTGCAGCAAAATGTCAGCATCTACTTGAGCAAACTGCTAAGAGGTTGGTTTTATTTACTTTATCCCACCATTCACTTCACAAATATTTGTTTTAGGGATGTGCCAAGAGAGAGTTTAAGAACCGGTTGTGAGGATCAGGGACCAAGAGTGGTTGAGCACTACATGAGGTAGCAAAGGAAATGTCTGCGGGAACCTGTGGGAAGTATGTTGAGTGGCTGGCATTTGTTTGGCTCATGAGGCAGTTCCATCAGTCATCTGAATGACTTCCCTCATTGAATGCCATTGGATGGTTTATTTGCTCTTGTATATAGAAAATGCTGAGTGTTGCAGTATAGTCTGGCTGGCTGCTGTTAAGAAGCTGGACATCTCTATTAGGTCGCCCTGTGGGAAGCGAGTGCTTGCAGAGTTATTAGCTGCAGAACAACACAGCTCTGGCTTCTGCTAGAGTCTGCTTACATGTAGGTGTGACTTTGCCAGGAAGGGACTGAGTAAACCATGGGAAGCACCCGACTTACAGGCACTGGTAGGATTCTCTGATCTCTGCCATTATCTCTGGTTGTGTATTTTCTTCTATTAGCATTTACAATACTGGGAAAGCAGAAGTGTGGCAGGCAGAGGGCTTCGTGGTAGTGTTTTTTATTTTCATTGTCAGGCAGTGCTGCAACATAGCTTGACACAAAAAAAAGAAGAAACTTCTTAAAAAAGCTGCATGAAATTAAAGATATTTTTGTGAACCTCGAGTCTGGACCATGCCAACATTGCTCTTTTTCTTGGATCCATATGCTGATAGTTTTCATTTTTTTTGTTTTCATTTGAAGGAAAACTTCTCTTCAAATTGTGTTATTTTTTCTGCAAAAATGAAAGTATTTAATCTCTTGATTTCTTTCTTCCTCTCTTTTTTTTGCACTGGTGTTATGGGCTTGCATGGCAAGGTTTTGGTAGTGGGGGGCCATAGGGATGGCTTCTGTGAGAAACTGTGAGGAGCTTCCCCTATGTTTGATAAAGCCAGTGTTAGCTGTCTCTAAGACAGTCCTGCCGTCCCCCAAGGCCAAGCCAATCGGCAACGGTGGCAGCGCCTCTGTGATAACAGTGAAAGCGAAGAAAAAAAAAACCACCTCTGCAGGAGAAACAGCAATGTAGAGAGAGGAGTGAGGCTATGTGAGAGAAACAACTCTGCAGACACCAAGGTCAGTGAAGAAGGAGAGAGGGGAGGAGGTGCCCGAAATGTCAGAGCAGAGAACCTTCCCTTGCAACTTGTGATGAAGACCGTGGTGAGGCAGGTTGTTCCCCTGCAGTCCATGGACATCCACGGTGGAGCAGAGAGCAGATATCCACCTGTAGCCCGTGGAAGGGACCCCACGCTGAAGCAGGTGGATGCCTGAAGGAATCTGTGACCCCGTGGGAAGCCCCCCGCTGAAGCAGGTTCCTGCCCAGGGGACCCCAGCCGGAGCAGGTTTGCTGGCAGGGCGTGTGACCACATGGGGGACCCACGCTGGGGCATGTTGTGAAGAGTTGCACCCCGTGGGAGGGACCCACGCTGGGGCAATTTGTGAAGAGCTGCAGCCCGTGGGAAGGACTCATGTTGGAGAAGTTTGTGGAGAACTGTCTCCTGTGAGAGGAACCTTCACGCTGGAGCAAGGGAAGAGTGTGAGGAGTCTTCTCCCTGAGGGACAAGGAGCGGCAGAGACAACGTGTGATAAAGTGACCGTAACCCCCATTCCCCTGTGCCACTTGGGGGGAGGAGGTAGTGAAACGGGAGTGAAGCTGAGCCTGGGAAGAAGGGAGGAGTGGGGGGAATCACAGAATATTAGGCAGGTCTTGAATATCTCCAGAGAAGGAGAATCCACAACCTCTCTGGGCAACCTGTTCCAGTGCTCCGTCACCCTCAAAGTGAAGAAGTTTTTCCTCGTGTTCAGCTGGAACTTTCTATGCTTCAGTTTGTGCCCATTGCCCCTTGTCCTGTCACTGGGCACCACTGAAAAGAGTCTGGCCTCATCCTCCTGACACCCACCCTTAAGATATTTATAGGCATAAAGGTGTTGTAAGATCTGGATTTATTTCTCAACTATCCTACTCTGATGTGATTGTTGATTAATTAAACTCCCTTTTCTCCCCAAGTTCAGTCTGTTTTGTCCATGACAGTAATTGGTGAGTGATCTCTCCCTATCTTTGTCTTGGCCCTCGAGCCTTTCATCATATTTCCTCTTCCGTGTCCAAGTGAGGAGGGGGAGTGATAGTGGTTTGGGTGGGTACTGGCATTTATCCAGGCCAAACCAAAACAACTGACATAATAAGAGTAATGCAGGATAAGAGTCTACTGCTTTGGTTTACTACATTTTTTACAAAATTTTGTATGTATTGACAGGCCTAATTAATAATGGCTGTCCTCTTTTTAGAGAGGATAGCTGGTGAAGTAAAATGCGTGTGTGGATATGCATGCTAATATGCACCATGGTTGTTTTCACTATTATAACAAGCTTCTAAAAGAGTGTCCTCCTTTTATGAAGAATTTCCTTGTTTTAAAATCACTGTAATACTTCCAACTAAATAAGCATATTTTAATTTCAAATGCATATTTCCAGTATTTAAAAGGTAAATGGTTTTGAAAAGCTTTATCGGCTTACTTTGGAGGTTTAAAGTAAGGTAAATGATGTAATTTTAGATATTAAAAAAGAAATCAAAGTAGTATTAAAAATAATCTAGCATCTCAATCTACATTTTGTTTTACAGATAGCCTTTTATGAAGGTGAAGGCGTGGATTTTTGACAGTATCTTACAGAGATCAGAATAGTCTGGAAGGGCAGGGAGGGGAGGACACATAGGACTGAGCTATCAGCAGCAATGTGCCCATGTGATAGAATTTGCTGCAGGACTTAAACTTCTCCTTCTGAAGCTTCAGCTTTTCTCTTTCTTGCTCAGAGTGAGCTCTTAAAGCTTTATACAGGATGAGTATGAATTAATCTGAGAAATCCCCTTGGTAGTCACTGCTGAGTAGGGTTTCTTGTAAACTGTTGAAGTCCTCAGCACTGCAGGCTGGGAACATAACTATGGCGTAGAAATGGACTTGAAAAGTGCAGAAGACCTCAAAGATGACTTAACAAGTTATCCTATGCCGATAGATTTGCTTATCTGAGAGGCAGAGTAGACGGGGAAGAACAGGAGCTCACTGCTGTTGAGATTTTCGTGGTAGAGAGTTTACTTTCAAAGAAACAAAAAAAACCCCCACCACCACCAACAAAAGCCCCGAAAAACTGCTGCTCTTACAAGAAGTAAATGTGCTATTCTAAAATATAAAGCAGAATACAAAGTGCATGCTGGTCTCGATGAGAAACTATTGGTCAGTATCAGTTTTGCTGTTATTAATAGCTTAATCAGTCAGCTGTAATATATTTAGAATTGCAGATTACAGGTTCATCTCAAAACTGCTTTGCTTTATGAATAGGCTTTCAGATACCCTTCACTTAAAGAGCCAAAGAAGCTCAACACTTAATTCCTGACATAGAAACTGACAAGGAACGTGCATAAAATGTGTTGTAGAACAGTAGAAGAGGGCATATGGATTCTATTACTTCAATAAAGACAAATTTATCATCAGTAACAAAAAGGATCTTAATATTTAACATTGCTTATCCCTAAAGTTTGGAATGTATATAATCCTGTATGAAATCATCAGGGTTAGATGAGGCACTTAATTTCCAAGTCCTGCCTCTAGGCTCCTGATTCATTGACATAGTAAGTATCAGAGTTTTTCTCACTTACCACAAAGAGTTTATAAAGAGTTGTTCTATGTTCTAACTTATTCAGAGTTCTGCAAAAAAAATTTTTTTTTTAATCTTGAAACTGCATAAACTGCATCGCTGTTGCTAATCTATTTACATGGATGCATGGGACAGCTGCTGTTAAAGAAAGCAATATCTAATTTAGACAAGGGCCACAGAAGTGAACTTTGACAGAAAATCTAGTTCTTCTCAGTTGAAGGAGATTGTGGAAGAATATAATATTGCTATCTAGCATAGTACGGATGCCACAGTGTCACTGTGGACTTCTTGATTGTGGTTTTATAATGAAGTTTTAAAAAGATTAATTTGTCTTGATCAAAGTGTTTTAGGCTAATACGTGTGAAAATAACTATCTGTCCTAACTTAGTGTGGTTTGGTTTGTGCACACATGCCGTAAGGCTGGTTTTGGTTTGCTTCTGGTGACAGTCTCCCATATTTTGATCACATCTGATGCTTTAAGGAAATGCTTTACCGTGGGAGCATGGAAACCCAGCTGTATCCTAGAAGTTGATGCTTTGTCAGGTGATGATTAAAATCTTCAGCAAAATAACTGCATTAGTACAAAATTAAAGTTCAGACTATCCCTTGGGTACACCAGAAGATAGTGCCTGATCTAGAATGCATTGAAGTTCACCAGTGACTTGAAGGCCTGACTCTGTGGCCTGGTAAGATTGTAGATAAGACTCGAG